TTTTTTTTGGCATTTTAGAAGGCGTTATTACAGTTATAAATTTTTGCAGTGGTTAAAATACGGTCCAGCGATGTGGTGTTCACAAATGAACCGTGCAGACAACAGGAAGGAGAACTGAAAGGAATCAGAGGAGATCCATCCCGTTATAAGCAATGCGGTCCCCACGGTACTTTCTGGATTATACCCTGTTTACCAGGATTGGAATTCGACAGGACCGACAATGTCTGTCGAAATCCGCGAAGCGAACTGTCACCAAACGGTGTTGAGGATGCAACTTCGTTCGAAGGGCTTACCAAATTTCAGAGCACAGACGTTGATAAATCATTTCCAACGTTAGTCACAAAAGTGCCAACCACAGCACAACCAAGAGTAACACCACGACGAGTTTCTGAAGCCTTCATTTTTACCTCATCACGGCCAAATAATACTATAGCAGAAAAACTATTACTGCTTGAAAAGCTTAAAAATTATGCCTTCCTTCCACCTGGACGAACAATTACAATCAAAGAAGAATGGGATTTTGATCAAAAAACTGGAAAAGAAGAGCAGAATACGTTAAAAACGACAACTAAACAAAAAGTTCAAGAAACGAGTGGTCTGAATATTATAAAAACTGGGACCACTGCAAAAATGACAACAGTAAATCGCCCTTCAGATGATATTTCGACCACAAAGACAACCACGGAAGCTACAACGTTCAAAATTTCTCGTACAACAACATATACTTTGCCGCCAGATATTTATCGGACCATTTACGAGACTAAAACAGAAGCATTAGAAGAAACGTCAACCGCTACCTCACTGCTAGAGCTAATTGATAAAGCGAATTCGAGAGTTTGGGCTTCGGTAACACAGTTACCAACGTCTGATCCTATTTATCTTGCCATAAAAAAAGGTTTCAGATTTTTTTTTCCTTAGTTTTTAAAGTTCGAACGACGCTATTAATTAACAGCTTTAATAAATGAATAAATTTTCAAGGACAAGCCACTAAACTTGTTAAAAGAAAAAGAAAGAACAAAAAAGAAATAAATTTGTTTGATTTAGGTTCACAACAGTCTAAAATTGATAACTCTAAAAGTACGTATCGGCCGATGCAAACAAAAACAACCAAAGTTTTGAGCGGTTGTCGTGTCGGACAACGATGCTACAAGGACGTCAATGAGGTCATCCTCGTAATTCTGTATTTT